ACTGTTTCAGAAGATGTATATCAGTCTCCAGACACATATAATGCTCACACTGTTGGGTTACTGTAGGTGCTCCAAATTTTTCCGCCAATTCCAATAACTGGATTACTGTATCATCTGAAATTTTCGATTACTGTAGTTTGGTTTTTGGGTTACTGTAGCTCCTTCCTACCATCAATCGATAATTCTCCGTAGAGGACCTCTAGGAACACTTGAAAGTCATTGGCATCTATATTTTCTAGTGGGAATTCTGGAATTCCAGAGTTTTCGGAATTTTCAGAATTTTCCGAATTTTCAAATTTCTCCAATGGAGGACTGTCGAGCAGGAAGAACTTGAAAAATGAAGTTTGAGAAGACAGGAACTGTAAAAAGGAAAGCTCCGACTCCGCCCATATTTAGACCACGCCCACTTTTCTGATTTTTCAAAAAAACTTAAATTTTTCAGCGTTTTGGTTTTTTGAAATCATTGAATTTTCAGATGTTTTATCAATATTTTTCGAAATCCCAAAATTCCAAATTTTCTATGACTCCGCCCCTTTTTCAAGCCCCGCCCACTTACCAATTTCGAAACAAAAAACTGCTCTCCGTCGACTTTTAAAATGACATCCGACACATTTTTCATTGTTTCCTCATCAAATTTTCGAAATCTTTTTTTTGTAAATCCAAAAACTTTTAACACTTCCACATGGCATTCTACAGTAATCCAATCATCATTAGATGAGCAATCAAGAGTGCTCCCATCGAAACGAATCGATGGATTACTGTACTTTTGAATTGAATATTCCGATTTTTCGATCACTTTTTTTCTCCAAATTTTGAAATTATCTCCCATTGGATTACTGTATCTATGGACCATTTTAAGTAGGTTGGATCAACGAAACAATCCAATTCTATTGAGAATTTTGGATTTTCTAGGCTTTCCGGCTGAATTCGGAGTCTCCTAAAATATAATTTTTTGGAAATTTTTAAAAAATTTAATTGCCCAATTACCCAATTAAAACTTAATTACCATGAAATATCAAAATGCTCATTTCCTTGTCCATTTTGTGCTCCTCCAATGAGCACATTTTCGAATTTTTGAGAAATTACAAATTTCTGTTTATTTGTTTCGTCCATCTGGAATTTTTTATTGGTTATTGGGGGTAATTAGGGTAATTATTGTAAGGTAATTAAGGTAACTAATTAGAGTAATCAAGTACCTCAAAAATTTTTTTTTCCAAAACCTCAAAATATTGGGTCAAATGATTTTTTTCAAATTTTTTTTCCTGATAAAAAATTTAGAGAGTATTATAAGAAGAAACGCAGAGAAAACGAAAATTAAAAAATTGTTGACTAATTGATCGTAATGACGCACGAAATGGGTCCTCTTATCAGTGGATAAGGGTCTTATCAGTGGGTCAAAAATTAAAAAATTAGGGAAAAATCGTAAAATTTCAAATCATAAACAAGTCAAAAATCGGGTGCATGCGTGTGACGTACTGGTTTTGTGTGCTCTGGAAAATTTGAAAAAAGTTGATTAGAAATGAAAAAAAATTGGAAAGTTTTTAAAAATTTCACATTTTCGGAATTTTCGAATTTCAGAACTTCAGAAATCTAGAAATTGACAAATCTCAGAATCTCAGAATCTCAGACTCTCAGAATCTCAGAATCTCAGAATCTCAGAATCTCAGAATTTCAGAATCTCAGAATCTCAGAATCTCAGAATCTCAGAATCTCAGACTCTCAGACTCTCAGAATCTCAGAATCTCAGAATCTCAGAATCTCAGAATCTCAGAATCTCAGAATCTCAGAATCTCAGAATCTCAGAATTTCAGAATCTCAGAATCTCAGAATCTCAGAATTTCAGAATCTCAGAATCTCAGACTCTCAGAATCTCAGAATCTCAGAATCTCAAAATCTCAGAATCTAAGAATCTCAGAATCTCAGAATCTCGAATCTAAGAATCTCAGGATCTCAGAATCTCAGAATCTCAGATTCTCAGAATCTCAGAATCTCAGAATCTCAGAATCTCAGTATGCTACTACAGTAACTGTAGTATATGTAACTACAGTATACAGTTGCTACAGTATAAAATTTCGTAAAAGAATTCAAATTTTTGGAAAAAATCCGAAAATTTTTTCAAAAATTTTTTCACTCAATCAGAATGATTTTTTCTGACTGTAAATCACACTTTTTATTCGGAAAATTTCTAGATCATGTCATTATCTAATATCGGCAACGAAAGTCATTATCTAATATCGACAACGAAAGTCATTATCTAATATCGACAACGAAAAGGGCGTTGCCGGCGCCAATTTGGTCGCCAAGTCATCGGGAAAAATAATTATTTGCGGTTTCTAGCTGACAGTTGAACTACAAAAAACCAGAAAGAAGAAGAAAAAAGTGTTTAGTTTGAGTGTTTAGTTTGAGCTACAGTAATCCATGGATAATTGAAACTCGGAAATTCAGAAACATAGAATTCCCATTTCCTCACTAAGTTTCCCGTTTTTTAAATCCAGATTTAAATTTTGGCCGTTATCAAAAATGATTCAAAATTTGACACTTTTTTGCGGCAGAAAAACTTTATTATCCTCAAAAAAATTAGTCATCGATTTCAAATGTTTCTGAAATTTTAGAGAAAATTTCGTAATTTCGAATTTTCAGCATTCCCAAAAATTCGAACTTCTGAATTTCTGAATTTCATTTCTTCACTGAAAATTTGCTCATCAGAGAAAAGGAATTTCAAAATTTCGAAATTCCTTTTTTTGTCTCATCAGTTAATCAGAAAACATACACAAATTCATAAAATTACTGATCATTTGGGTGTGACCAAACCCAAAATTACAGAATTTTCAGAACTTTGTCTCTGTGTTTTGGAATTTTTCGGAATAATTTTTTTTTGATACTACAGAATATTTTTGTAGTCAAATTTCTAAATTTCTAAATTTCTAAATTTTTGAATTTCTGAATTTTTGAATTTCTGAATTTCTGAATTTCTGAATTTCTGAATTTCTGAATTTCTGAATTTCTGTATTTCAGAATTTCAGAATTTCAGAATTTCAGAATTTCAGAATTTCTGAAATTTCTGAATTTCTGAATTTCTGAATTTCTGAAATTTCTAAATTTCTAAATTTCTGAATTTCTGAAATTTCTGAATTTCTGAAATTTCTGAATTTCTGAAATTTCTGAATTTCTGAATTTCTGAATTTCTGAATTTCTGAATTTCCGAATTTCTGAATTTCTGAATTTCTGAATTTCTGAATTTCTGAATTTCTGAATTTCTGAATTTCTGAATTTCTGAAATTTCTGAATTTCTGAATTTCTGAATTTCTGAATTTTTGAATTTCTGTATTTCAGAATTTCAGAATTTCAGAATTTCTGAATTTCTGAATTTCTGAATTTCTGAATTTCTGAAATTTCTGAATTTCTGAATTTCTGAATTTCTGAAATTTCTAAATTTCTAAATTTCTGAATTTCTGAAATTTCTGAATTTCTGAAATTTCTGAATTTCTGAAATTTCTGAATTTCTGAATTTCTGAATTTCTGAATTCCTGAATTTCTGAAATTTCTGAATTTCTGAATTTCTGAATTTCTGA